AACACCAAAGCTCAATATCTGGGAAGATTAAGATCGTCCATTAGTAATGCGGTACAAATACAATCCTATTAAATGTTATAGGATGTCCAAAAATTAGCCCTGAAGGTGAGTAGACAACACAACATTATGAGTTTCAAACAACCCTTCAAAAAAGCAACCAACTGATCGGATAGCTAGAGTACCCAAGGGAGCACCCAAGCCGACCCCGACGGAGGAAAAACCAATACATAGTGAAGAAAAGGTGGAGGCTACTAGCTCTCACAAATCTGTCCAGCCAGGAAGTACTTCACGCTTCAAGTGCCATGATTTTGGGCACATTGTGTCTGATTGGCCAAATAGGAGAATGATAACTTTCACCAAGCTATATATATATATATATATATATATATATGGGTATATGGGAAATGTAAGATAATGTGATGATGCAAATGAGTATCAACTTCCAACCGACAATGGAGAGATGCTATTAATCTGACGGATCCTTCAGACTGAGCCAATTAGAAAACAACCGTGGCTCAACCACATCATTCATACTCAATATACCATAGGAAAAGACCTGCAATGTAATTATAATAGAGGCAATTATGACAATGTGATATCTAGACAAGTAATCGACCAATTGAACCTAGCCACACAAATGCGCACCCAACCATAGTATCTATATTTGTTTAAAAAAAAAGAGAAAATCACGGTTAACAAAGGAAATTCATTGAAGGAAAAGGTATGCAATTACATTACAGCTGAAGGCATGTGTAAAAATGTGGTATCTACAAAGATGATCTACAAATTGAATCTAGCAAGCACAGCCAACCTTATTCTCTATTTTTGTTAAAAAAAAAGGGAATAAAATAACGGTTGAAAAAGGATGTATATGAAGTTTTTTTTATTGGAGATGAGTTCCAAGAGCAAGTGTAGCACGACATAGTACCAATAGATGTTTGTCACATCCTATTAGACCATGATAGCCAATATCCACAGAGAAAAAAGACCAATCAGAAGTGGTGAACCACAATTTTGAAAATAGTCATAGGTGTTTTGTGAGAAAAAACATCCGAAAATGGGATCCAAGTCCTTCTAGAGAAAAGTCTCTCGCAGGTTTTGACAGAAGATCACTGAATTTCAAATTTTTACCATTTTTCTTCCTTTTTATGATTTCACTATTTCTAATTAGGTCATTTTCTGTTAGAGAACTATTAATATACTTGTTATTGTTTATTTAAGAGATTTTTGCTTAATATTGTGTAATTTGGATATTTCATTCTCTATTTTATGCTCTTAGGAGTGTTGTATCATCTTGCTTTTGAAAATGGTGTGTGTATATCATGCTTGAGAACGTACGGTGGAACATCCTTGTCGTTTCATTGTTCAACCAGTTGTTTTTCAACTAGACAATCGTCTTACTCCACCCATTTGTTATATAATAGCATATTTCACACTTTATCCCCTCCCAAACATTGTCCATCATCCCTATTAACATATGATTCCACAACCACCTCTACATGAAATCTGCTTTCTAAATACCTTAATAAGAGCCCAAGAACAGTTTCATTATACCATTTTAAAGCAGATCCAAAACTAATTTCACTTCACATTTTTTAATAATCTATAATATTTCTTATTATCAAGTTCATAATGCATTTCCAAAATAATTTCATTCTTAAAACTAATATAACAATTTCTCTAAGTAAAATTTTCATTATTCGTTCATATTAACTTTAACTAAACCACATTTTCCTTTATTTTTAATGCACATAATCAGATTAAAATATCAAAATCTCTTATCTCTACCTAATTATAGCAAATTGTCCCCCGCATAAAAATAGATTGGTCTTACACGCCCAATCAAATAACCATTGCCTCAAATTATTCATGGAGATGCCCTCATTCCACCCTTATTCCTCTCCTCGCTTACACTCTAAGCTTCAAGTACCACCTGTGGTTTCTTCAATAATTTCCATGTGACCATATGATAAAGCGAATTTCTCCCTTTTTAAAAATAAATGTATCCCTCTTAACCATTTCTTTCAGTCTAAAGGTCTTCATTTGAGTAGAACTAAAACTGAATACATTGAAATGTAATTTTAATAGTAGTAGCTCTAGTGACAGAAGTGTAACTTTGGGTGATCAAATTATTAAAAGGTGTTAACGATTTAAATATCTCGGGTCTGTTTTTCAAAGCGATGGTGATATAAATGGGGATGTTAATAGTAGAATTCAAGTTGGTGGGTTGAAGTGGAGGAATGCTTCGAGCCTTTTGTGTGATAGAAAAGTAATCGCCTATTTACTTAGTCGGTTTTCCTTTTTCACTCACGAAATGGCTCGCCTCCTCCTTTTCTTCACATGATAAGGGCACTGCACTGATCCTACGAGAAGTTTGAAACCCTCGTCCCTTACCCTTCTCCTTCCCGCACGCGAGCACAGCGGATCTCATCTTCTCCCTCTTCTCCTTTGCAAGGCTTGACAGCCTTAACACACGCAAAGCTCACTTTTGAGTCATCTTCTTCCTCTTACTACGAGCACTATGCCTCTTCTTCCTCTTTGGTTGCGATCTCGGCGCAACCCAACAAAGCAACGCACGATCTTTCGTTTCTTCCTGGTTGTTCAGGTTCTTTCAACCTTACCTCTTCCTCTTTCTTCTTCTTCGATTAGAGCACAGGCTTCTTCCTCTTCTCCTTGGCTAGGGCAAGACAGTTTTCTCTTTTCTCAATCACTCCCGCAATCTCTTGTTTGTCTGTTCGATTGATTCAAAAGGGATATGACTCTTATATCGTAACCGAAGAGATGTGTATCCCTACACATGTTCTATTTATTATTATTATTATTGAATTCTTTATTACACCTTGGCATACAATCCTCTCATTTGGCTCCGTTGGAGCCATGGCTGATTCTCCCCACCTTCGAACTTCCATCCGGCACTATTCTTGATTCCACCGGAGGTTCGGCATCTGCCTCCATCACTTCACAGATCGGATGATCTGAACACCACAAACTCCACAGGAAACCAACAAATAAGTCTACGAACAAATCTTCAACTACTAAGGGACTCGCAACGTCCCCAGAATCCACAACAATTCAGTCAGCCCCTGCTCAGACCATTCCCGACTCATCAAATTCTATTGAGAGTCAAGTGGAATAAGCTGATTGATTCTAGTCAGTTCTCTTTTGGCCCGTCGATCTCTTGTGTCCTTCAAGAACCGTCCTTCGAGAAGGATTTAATTTTTATTTTAATTTTTTTTTCTTTTATCTCAAAAAATGGCATTGATGACGCCTTCCTTTGTTCTCCTTTGTCGCTACAGTATTTTTTTCTTACAACAAGCCCTCTTCCAGAGTTTTTTTCCTGCAACAAACCTTCCTTCAGAGCTTTTTCCTTGCAGTTCATTCCCTGCAGCTTTCCCTATAAGTTGTTTACTTCCCTGCAAACTTCCCTGCAGCATTATCCGTAGCAGTCTTTCGCTTAAATACAGAAACTGCAGTAAAAAATAATCGTAGTAAACGAGAAGTATCCCTAAATTCTCTTGTGATGAAGTTTTCAAGTTCTGCCTCACAAAAGATCTTCCTCACCCGTTGTTTGATAATTTCAAATCCAAGTTGAACATGATTAACGTCTATGTTTCGACTTGACGGGGAGTGTTAAGAGTTATTAGAAATTGATTTATTTTCTTTCATGTTATTTCCTACTTTATGTATTTTCTTATCTCTGGGTAGTTATTAGGAACCAATTAATTACAACTTTGGAGATATAGGTGTTATGTTTTTCCTATTTTATGTCTTTCCTTTTATCTTCGGTGGTTATTAAGAATTGATTAATTATAATATTGGAGATATAGGCGTTATGTTTTTTCTATTTTAGGATTCATGTAAGCTAAATTTATATCCCCTTTTATATCAATAAATTATTTTGCTAAATTTTCAAAATCTACAATAAATAATTTAAAGTTTAAAAGATATATATATGGTGGAGAAGACGGAAACTATGTTTACTCTATTAGTACTCCCACTTGTAAATTATCATTACGTCCCCTGAACATAATTCAAATTGGAATAAAGGCTTACAATAAACCCTAATTTGATTCTAATCTGACCAGTTCACAAGCCAACACTTATAAGGCAAAGTATCCATTTCATTTTTCCCTCATCTGCTTGCTTTATGTCCACAGGATGCTCTCATCTCTAAGCTTCATGCTGCAGCCTACTGTTTTTTAAATCAACCAAAATGGCCTAATCACAGTCGTTAAGCTCCAGCCTATTTTCCTCCAGACAAATACCCAATTTTCTTGATGAACGTAGCGTATGTAAGTGCAAGCTCGGAACAGAGCTAATATGAATAAAGTTTCAAACCAAAGCTAACAGGACTTGCCCCGCAAGCCAAACCAAGCCACAGCAACCTAACCTAAATTTAAAGATGATCAGACCTAGAACAACCCATTGCCACCATGATTTTCCAAATAGAGTGTCCTTCAAATTTTTTTCATTATGCAAATATTGAATGATAATTCTGTTCATGCAGAAAGGACTGGAATGCAACAAAAGGAATTAGAAATCTCAATTAGTAACCAGAACTAAATTGTCTTAAATTAAAAGGAAACAAATCATCATGTTGCAGCAAAGATAAATGAAAAATGTAAATACAAAGACTGAAAATATATTAGCAAGTTAAAGTATGTGGATAAGTCGAATTTCTTTGATGATAGAAGGCACCAAGGTTCAAAAACAGGACATGTTGTGTGGATGCTAAATGCTTTAGAAATACTAAACATAAATATTATCTGCAGTAGATAAAAATGATTAGAACAGTAAATAGGCAAGGAAGGCACGTGGTTAATTTTGGGAAAGCTAAAATACAGTGAACAGAGCAATGGAGATAAATATTTTTGTACCATAATGACCAAAAGACTGTAACACAAATACTTCGTGAAATGAACTAAACGTGCATAACAAAACCTGCATCGCAATGTAGATAAAAGTTTACACAATTATGGCAACATAGATAATTAACTTACTGCTTCAATAAGCATTTGCAGTTCCGAATCCACGAGCAGGGAACCAAATTTCACTAGTCCATTTTTTAGCTCCTCACAAGAAATAATGCCATCATTATCAGTGTCCATCATCTTAAATTTTCCTTTCATATCTTCAACCTCTTCAGTGGATAAATGTTCAGCAATAACCTATTGAGAAAAAAATTTTATTAGAAATTAAATATGATTATGAAGCCACATTAATATTCATTCAGTATGAAAAACCAAATAAGCCAAAATAGAAACCAACCCGCAAAGCTCTCCTTTTAAACCTATTCATTCTTGTGAACTGCTTTAACCTTGATTCGACATCATCACCAAGAGGGACATTTGGAGCTTTCTTAGCATTTTGAATCCAGGGATGCTCTGTTGAAACACCGAACCCAATTTAGATTTAAGAAAGACAACAAGATATATAAGACCGAAGGTCTTTAAGATATGGCTAACCAAACAAATTTGAAGCTTGAAATTGTGAGCTATGTGGAAGGATTTAACTTTACATTATTACATGCCATCATGTGCAAAGCTAATTTGGCTAACAAGCACGAACTGAACAAGTGCTAAAATAGCTTCAGGCTTCAATAAACAAGAAAACAAAAATAAATGAAAAAACAGCAAAATCACTTTGATCGAATCTCTTATATATTCTAACTGGTGTTTAACTTTCAACTTTGACTTTTTAATTTTAAGTCAAGATTCTGATTCTCCTTTTTTCAAATGAGAAGAAAAAAAATACATTGTGAGAGTTGAATGGGTTATTGTGTCGCTGATCCCAAATAGTTGTCTTAGGATAAAGATTAGGGACGACGATTGTCAGTATTTCTGTCTTATTACAAAGCTCTAAAGTCAAAAATAATATTTGAAAGAATAACTAAGGATCTAAATTTTATCCTCTATCACTTCTGTTATATCAATGCAAGCTCATACAAGTCAGCTCAGTCAAATACATTATTTATACATAAAGCGATGGGTAAGTAAAAATTACACAGAAGGTATTATGCAATAAAGGATGCATATTTTTTCTCCTCTGATAATTCCAAAAACCAAATATATGATGTCAGATTTCAGAGAATAGGGCGGCATACCTTTATTGATAGAAAATGAGGTATAAATACATACAAGATCCAAATAAAGGAAAGACAAATTTGGAAATAGACCTAACTAAGGGTCTGTTTGAGGAAGCTGCTTTGAGGAAGCTGCTTTGGAGAAGCTGGCTAGTTATTTGTTACAGTTGTGTGAAAATAGCTATGGGACGGTTGTATCTAGAAAAATGATCATTCTGCCTCTATTTAGTAAAGCTGTTTAAAATAAAATTGTGACAGTCATATATTTGATACTTTAGAAGCAGAAATTCACTTCAAAACAGTTACAAAAATTCAGATACACAAAAAGTGCTAACAACTCGCTTAACAGTGAGTATCAAAAGCGCTTAACCACCCATATTTTTTATTTCCCATCAAAAATACTACTATTTTATCTTAAATACACTTTTTATGCATGGATATGGTGGCATATATATGAAAATTAAGGTTTAGCCATTAGATATGTAAATACGTAAGAATTTAGTGACATGCATGTAAATATTCTTATATAATATTGTTATCTTGAGTCTCAACAACACTACAATCTAAATAGCATTATAATCCACATAATACTCAACTAACTAGCCCCTAACAAAACTGATATTTAACAATATCAACAAACAAAATAGTAGATACACACTATTAACTCTGCATCATAATGTAAAAACATAATAACCCTTGCTTGAGGACATGAATATCCAAGAAAAGTGATCAATTCAATGTAAATCTTCACAAACAAGAACATATCTGGCTTTCTTCTTCAAAAGTTAGAATTTCAATGCTTCAGGACGAGACTTGTAAAGAAACGCAATTCTAACTATCCTCCTCGCATCACCATAGACATCCTGAATCCAAAGAAAATGAGCTCAAAACAATGGGGAAAAGAGCGACGGATTAAATTACTCTATTTGAGCATCAGAAAATATCATTGTGGTGGTGATCGATGAGCAATCCAGCCTCGTTCTAGATCATATGCGCGATGAAATTAGGGATAGAAGAATGAATGGGAGGGAAACTGGCACCGAAGGAGGCGGTGCGCCTCTTGAGCTTGTGAAAATGAGAACGGTTGTTGAAGCCGAAGAGAATGAAGAGGAAGCAGGTTTTGTGAGAAACTTTGGAGAAGAGGAGGAGAGATCATGGCCAAATGTTTCGATTAAGGAGGGAAAGAGGGTAAAAAGCCGAAGGGGAAAGCTTGGTCACAGCTGATTGTAAGCGTTCCGCTTTCGGAGTAAATCGCGTCAGGCCGCCGCGGTACCGCTGCCCCAAACAGCAAAAAAGGGCGGCGCAATACCGTGTTGCAGCTCTGCCGCCGCCCCAAACGAACCATAAAAATTACATCAATATGGAAACAAAAATAAAGGAATCAAATAAATATTAATAATAACTATAGTCATAATTAGCGTAATAATTAGGCTAATAATTCTAATACTCCCCAACAAGTTGAAGCATAAATGTTCATCATGTTCAACTTGGATTCAAACAATGAATAAGAAAGATTTTTGGTAAGGATATCTGCTAATTGACCATTAGATAGAACAAATGGAATACAAATCTCCCATGAATCGAAGTTTTCCTTAATGAAGTGTCTGTCAATCTTCACATACTTAGTCTGATCATGCTTGACCGGATTATGGGCAATACTCATAGAAATTTTATTATCACAAAATAGCTGAAGAGGAACAGAGACTGGCATACGCAATTCTCAGAGAATGATGTGTAAGTAGAATGCTTCACAATTAACTAAAGACATTGAGTGAAACTCGGCATCAGCACTGCTTCGGGCCACAATTGACTGTTATTTGCTTTTCCACCTAACAAAATTTCTCACAGAAATGAGCAGTATTCTAATATGGATAGCCAGACCCGGCCTAATCCGCATCAGTATAAACAGTAATAGAACTAAAGGTGTGGTTAGAGAAAAACAAACTTGAGCCCGGTGTACCTTTTAAGTAGTGAAGGATCCTGTGGACTGCTCGGATATGGTGCTCATAGAGATCATGCATGAATTGACTCTCAATACCTACTGCGTGGCAAATGTCAGGGTGAGTATGGGCGAGGAAAATGAGTTTTTCCACAAGTTGTGTTAGTGAGTCTTGTTCACCAAAACTCCATTGAAATTTCAGCTAATTTCTCATTGGGATCCATTAGAACACCCACAAATCAAGCAAATATTTGCGCTGAAATAAACAAAATACCCCGAGATGACCGAAACTCCATAGAAGTAGTTGTAGAGCTATTGTGAGAAGAGAATTTTTTTTAAAAGTTGTAATAAGTATTATAAATTTAAGTTAGACAACAACTTTCATACAACTATCACAGCCTAGCAGGCCTGCTTGTTAAAAATTGCTTCTCACTACAATCTTTTCTGAATAGCAATAAAAAAGTGTGGTAACAACTGAAAAGAAACTAGCAAAAAAATACCCCAAATGAAACCTTAGACCATTATTTTATCAAACTAGTTCAATTATGCATATCTTCTATAGTTCTATTTACATCAATAAGACTTATAATTACTATGATTACTAGTCAATGGTTTTGCGAATAACTTCATGCAGATGATTAAATGGAAGCAATATGTTATTAGGGAAGTAAATAAAATTTTCAAATATTGAAATGCTTCTTAATGGATACAAATAAATACAAACCAACTTTTAGACTATGAAAAGAAAAATAAATAAATAAAATTAAAAAGTCACACAAAATAATATGTCCATATGAATGGAAAACCTCATTAAAATAACCCACATAGCTTAAATATTAGTGATGATGAATTATGCAACTCTGGTTTCGAACAAATAAAAAAATTTTATATTTCAACTTTCCGTTGAGATATCAATAAATTCTCTAAAATTTTGATGTAATTTTACTTTATCCTTAAAGATATTTTTATAAATATATATACTAAAAAACCAATAACCAAAAAAAAAATTCATTTTCATCATTTATTATAGAAATTAGAACAAAGATAATGTCCCAAGAATTACTTTTATCAATTTCCTCAATTGATTCATTGAAGACAGTAGAAAATTGATATTATTTGACTAATTTTAGAAGTTTGAGTTCAAATGTGATGTCATACTCATATTAGGTCTTTTTTAATTCTTAACACTTGTTCAAGAATAGACAAGTTCATAAACATTTTCTTATTTAAACACTATCAAATTATTATGTTGAATGACCTAATTATGTACTTCTCTTGGATGATATGATTGTACAATGTTAAGCTTAAATATCAAACGTAATGCATGACAACTTATGCGTTTAAGATTCCCTAGTGCAATTGTATGATACAATGCACAAAATCCTACACATCAAAATCATCATTAATAGTCTTATCCTAAATTTTCAGAATACACATAACAAAATATTTTTAACATTCTTTCCTATTAAGTATTGTTCGACTATAAAATCTATTGTTAGCAAATCATTTTGAAAAGGTCTAATCCTGTAATCTTAGATCTATATATTTTCCTTGCTAATTCTTTGACACTGAAGACTCATCTAACAAGTGCATTTTCTACCCTTTATTGCACATATTCAAACCACTAAGTCGATCACCTTTTCTCAGAAAGACGTTATTTCAATACTTTAACAAATATAGCTATTCATTAATATTTTTCTTAAAATTTGCTCTACATCCATTTCAATTTTCGTCAGTGTCATTGTAAAATCTCAAGTCCCAGATGCGAGAGTTGCATAAAGTAGTCAATAGCCAACGTAAAAATTATTGCCAAAAAATTATGATATTAATCATTTAAATCAATGTATCAATATTAACAATTGGAGCAACGAGTTCTATGACCAAAATACAAGGAAAAATGCGCAAGGGTAGCTGTGCTGGCACCCAGGCATAGTGTTAAAAATAAGGGTTCTTATATTATGGATGGATGCAGGCAGAATAGTTTGCCCGCGAAAATAATATTATGATAGGAACTTGGAATATATGTACTCTCACAGGTAAATTAATAAAATTAGTACATATTATGGTCGTAAAAAGATAAATATATTATGCATTCAAGAAATTAAATGGGTTGAAGAAAAAACTAAGAAGATTGATAGCATGGTTTAAACTTAGATAATCAGGTAGAGTTGTACTATAAGTGTAGGTGTAAAAGAGTTTGCAAAATAATAATGTAAAAATTAATATAATTGGAAAAAAATTTTACTTTTTGTTTATATTAAAAATTTTAATGTTATGAATGTTTATGCTCCCCAAGTAGATTTGGATATATTGTCAAAAGATAAATTTTGAAATGACCTAGAAGAATTAATATAAAGATCTCT